CTTTTATGAACGGCTTTACGTGTTTCTTCGCTAACTCGAAATGCAACAACCTCTAACTCTTCTTCGGACTCTTCTGCATCATTGAAAGCTATTTTCTTGGGTCTATCATATAAGGTATTCGTTCTTGTACAGTTAATACCAATCCAAACACAGGACTTTTATATATTTTAATTTACCCAAACAGAACTTCCTCCTTACACATGATTGTTGTATTCCTTATTTGTCATATCATAACTTGAGACTTGCTAAAAATAAAAGTGGTAAACAATGCCAATTTTTTGAAGAAGGGTAGCCAAATCTCCACTTTTTGTCAAAAATTATGAAAAAAAAGAGTAGCAGAGAAAAGTGTAGTTTTGCGAGTTTTTCAACTCAAGGAGTATTGTTCTAAAAGTTCTTCATAGCCTTCTATTTCCAAAATAACTTGAGTCTTCTTTCTACTTACTGTTTCTAGAGACTTCACTGGTTTGGATGCTAAATGCAAAAAGGAGTCTATCTGTGACAAAAAAAAAAAAACAGGCTTAACCTCTTTGTAAACCATCTAAAATGCCTGCTTCTCAGTATATTATATTTAAAACTTCATTGACAACAGTTTGTATTAAGAAAACTTCAAGTTATTTGTTTATTTCTGGTCTTGAGTCTTCAACTTGCTTTCAGGTACTAGTTGGTACAAGTGATCATTGGGGAGAGTTGCACATATAAAGTTTCTATTTTATATCTAAGCAGTATATTTTATTATCAATAATTGATATTATACTAATCATATCTAATTATTAATTAGAATAGAGTTACAGATCATAAAAAAAAAAATAAAAAATAATAAATAAAAAAAATAAGAATAAATTAGAAAAGAATAAAAAATAAAAAACAAAAAAAAAAAAACAAATTCAAGTAAACCAGATTCACTTGAACTCAGATTGAATCTGGTTTTGGTTTACTTGAACTAGATTGGGTTTAAATAAACCCAGTCTGGATTTATTTGAACCCAATATGGTTCAAGTAAACCCAAACCAGGTTCATTTAAACCAATTTGAGTTTAAGAGAATCCAAGCCAGGTTCAAGTAAACCCAAATTGGGTTCAAGTGAACCCAAATCGAGTTCAAGTAAACCCAAATCAGGTTCAAGCAAACCCAAATCAGGTTCAAGTGAACCCAAATCAGGTTCAAGTGAACCAAACAAAGTTCAAGTAAACCCAAGCCAGGTTTAAGTAAACCCAAATTGGGTTTATTTGTATCCAAGCAAGATTCAAATTAACCAAAATCAGGTTTATTTAAATCAATCCAGGTTCAAGTAAACCCAGGCCAGGTTTAAGTTAAATCTAATTGGGTTCATTTGAACCCAGGCAGGTTCAAGTTAACTAAAATTAGGTTTATTTGAATCTAATATTATAAAAATTTAAAGATCATCCAGCCTAAAAGCTAGAAAACTAAAATCAATTTTTAAAAAAACTTAAAAATTAAAAAAAGTTAAAACCGAGCCCCCGGAGCAACGCCCGGGCCTGAGAGCTAGTTCGTTTAATTATTTTTCGATATTGTGGATTTTGTTACGAATTTTGGTTTTTTTTTCGATGGTAAATTCGGCTCTACTAAATGTTTTAGTAGCTGTAAAAGATAAGTATATTTATTTTATTGTTAATTTTTTTGTCTTTATACATCTTACAATGCTAACTAATTTATCCGTTATAGATAAGGTTGGTTTGCCAATTGTTCGAGTTTAGAGGCAAAGTTATGCATGTTTCGGATACGATTTTGGATGCGTCTATCGGATTTAGGGTCACAATCGTCGATTATACTATGCTGGGTCGCGTTCTTCGTTGGCTTTGACTAAAAACGAATAGTCTCTGTTGAAAATGGGATCGTTATGTAACGATTCTTTAAATCATTCATTACGCAATAGCATTAGAGTTAGTTAAGTTTTAGTTTAATGCTAGGTTAGAATAAGAGGTTAGAAAAGATTTATATAAATTACATTTGTTATGTAATACTGGCGTAATGTTTTAAATAATAAAAATATTTTATTGGATTGAAGAGTATATATATTTGAATTTTACTTTAAAATTAGATATTTTTAGACTATAGTATTTGATTCTTTAGAGGTAATAAAATATTCCGACTTATGCGATTTAAGGATTTTTCATTGTTTAAACAATCAAAACTTCTTGAAATCGTATAAGCATAAACACTCTAGAGAATAAATACAATAATTATATTAATTATAAAGATCATTGTATTTACAATAGTTCATGTCAATTTTATTTAAACCATGTAATTCAAAATCGTTTTATTCACTTTAATAAGGTTCGAATGCAGTGCAGTGAGCATCTAGTGCTCGGTTTTTTGAACAGACTTAGCTAACTTTTTAATTCAAACTGTTCAAAATATCTATATAAAATGGAGAAGCTGTTTTAAATTTTCATTGATGCTATTAAAATATATTATAGTTATCATACGGGTCTGACGTAACAACCCGTGCGTCGCTTCTTTTAAATAATTATTTAAACTATTTTTATTTATAATTACCTTTTCTTTCTCCTTGTTTACCTTTATAGAACTAGAAACTTCACGATATTCATATATTAGTTAGAATTTTTAAAAATAACAAATCTAAATATTAAAATTATATTTTTAAATCTATACGAATTTTTTTATGTTGTAAAGGGTAAATAATTGTTTGGATTTGTTAAAGAATGTATAGAATTCTCATAACTCGATTATTGAGACGTCTGAGATGGATAAAATAGCCGCTACGCATGCACATGAAAAAACTTTTGAAAATCAAGAGTATTCTATTTAACAGCTAGGATATTAACCTCTTTAACACACGATTTGTCTAAATCATCTTTTTCCGAATTTTTTTGAGATTAAAGAAAGGTTAACTGAGGGTTTTCGTATTTTTATTGAAGATAATTTGAAATGTATTGATTCGAGATAGATTTTACATTTGATTATGGTCTTGATTATTGTGGAATTCGAACATTTCGTGAGAGAGGGTATATGTTTACGGGGATTGAACGTCCTTGTTATAGAATAATGCTTGTGGCGTGTTATTGGACCAAGGGTGATATCGAGCTTGTGAAAGAATTTTACGAACGATTGAGATTTCATAGGATCGTCCCAAGTTCATCTATGATCTTTTATGCATGTTTGAATGAACCTCAGACAGCAAATTGTTTCCTTCTTGAATGTAATGGTATAGATGATTTAAACAAGATTGATCTTGTAAAAAAAATTTCTGGGAAATCTGGTGGTATGGGTGTAACTTTATCGAACGTTCCTTCTTCTGAATTTTTAAAAGTTGCGATGATGTTGAATGAAATTGGAGCTAAAAAGATTGTGGAAGGAAATAATAAGCGTGCTGGATCTATTTCAGTTTCAGTAGATGTTTATAGTATTAATGTACTCGCGTTGCTTGGTCTTCGTCTGAATATCGGTGATGAGTCTACTCATGCTCCAAATCTTTATACTTGTGTGAATTTATGCGATTTGTTTTTCGAACGTTTTGATTCCGGTAAGATGTGGACTCTTTTTAATCCTTCTGATGACGGTGTATCCAAATTATCGCAACTTTATGGTGATGAGTTTAAAAAACATTACTTATCACTTGAATCAAAATATCCTGATGCTAAAAAGATCGATCCGGGACAAATATTACACAATATTCATTATTCATCCTCTCAATCTGGTTTTCCGTATGTCATTTCCAAATATCAAATGTTTAGAACGTCTAATTTAAAACATTGCGGTCAGATAATAACAAATTTATGTACTGAGATATGTGAACCTGCTGGTAAAGACATGTCTTCCGTTTGTAATTTGTTGAGTTTGGATCTTGCCAGTTTTTTAATTGATGGAGAATTTGACTGGGAAGAATTTAGAAAATGTGTTGAACTTTCCGTAATAGCCTTGAATAACGCGATAGATTTGATGTATTATATTGATGAAACAACTAAGAGACCTAATCTTCAAAATAGACCTATCGCTATAGGATATCAAAATTTATCCGTTATCCAAGCTTTTTCAATCTATGCGTACGTATATCACATTGTTCTGTTGAAGCGCGTAATTTGAGTTTTAAGATTTCAAAATTCATATATTTGCACGCGTTGCGCACTTCTTGTGATCTGGCTAAAAAGATGGGACGTAAATTTCCTACTTATGAGGGATGTGATCTCAGTAAGGGAATTTTACATTTTCAACATTTTAAAAAATCCGATGGTTCTTTTATTCAAGATGAGGATACGGTGTTTCCTGATGAATTTAAACAACTTCGAGAAGATATTTTGAAACACGGTGTTTACAACCGTTTAGTTATCGCACTCATGCCGACTGTTACTTCTGCTAGATTTTGGGGAATATACCTAGTTTAGAGATATCAATTAACGCTTATGCTGATCGGGCATTATCGAACGAATTTTTCGTTTATAATAAATATCTTTATGACGTTTTGAAGAAAGAAGGATTTTACGAAGATGGAATATTTAGGACTATAGCTTTATCCAGGAGGGTCTTGATGGATAAAGGATGTTTTCAAAACTATGTGGGAAGTAGGTCTTTCATTATACAGCACCTTGGAATGCATCGTGACCGTATAATATTCATAGATCATTCGGCGAGTCTTAATCTTTATCTTTCTAAAAGTATGCACGATATAGTTATTGATGAGTATTACAGATTGAATAACGACATAACACGTAAACTTTGGAAGTTAGGAGTTAAGACTATCAAATATTATGGTCAGTTGGAAATTTGATTGTGATTTTGTTATCAGCAATCGGATGTTTTTAGACTTTGATGTGGCTGTCTAATAAAAAAATTTGTATTAAATATTTTGACAATTTATTATAACAATAGAATGTAATTTACTTTAACTATCTATCGTTGCGTCAATTGATTACACATTTATTACAGTATTGATTTTAGAATAAATTTAAGTTGCTATTAAATCTAAATCGACCCAAATTACTTTTAAATTTCTTATCAACTTGGGTCACATTTAGAATTCCATTTCAACATAATTTCATTCTGATGTAAAACATATATATAATTATGTTAAAACTAGGCAATTCAAATAAATAGGCCTATTTTAAAAGTAATAGAACTTTCGATAGTAAAATCCAGATTTTGATAAGTAAAAAAAAAAAAAAAAACATATTATAATAAATCAGATGATAGCAAATAAATAAATTGAAAATTTGGCAAGACCTAAATGTTGAAACATTTCCTAATGACTACATTTTACCCTTTACGATAAATCAAAAAGACTTTGAATAGTCTTTTATTCATCAACAAATTTAAAATAAAAAATTCATTAAAACAATAATCAAAACCTAAAATTAAATAAAAATAGAATATTTGTATTTTGAGTTACATATATTTTTCCTAATTAAAATGATAAAGTAAAAAACGTGACATATAATTCATTTCAAGAAAAATTATATACGATAGTATGCTACCGTGTTAATAGTTACAAAATTATTAGAATTTTCCCATATTAATGGATGAAGATATTCGTCATCAGATCCGTAACGAGTGGGACTTATATAAGAGTTTCGGCAGATTTGGATGTTAACTCTTTGGAATTATTAAGATCAAAGCCTAGTGGAATAACTTAACTAGTCTCTCCATTATCTACTGATCGTTTTTTAGAAAGGCCTGATCGTCTATTTTTTTCTCTAAGGACTTCGATACCTTGTTTAATTAAGAATTGGTCACATGCAGAGTACAATTCTTGTTCCTCTTCAGAGTCACTACAACGTTGACTAATCCACGTTGCTGCACGTTCACAGACAGGTCGCCAATCTTCCTCATAGTTAGGTAACACAGTTCTTAAATACGTGGTTGTAAGTGCTGTACACCATATAGAAGAATCATATCTTCTTAGCAACAAGCTTTTTACATAACGCTTGAGTGATTCAACTGCGATGTCGATTGATTGGATTTTAAGATGGTCAGAAATTAATTTATGTAGGATGAATGAGCCGTCGTTTTTTTGAGAATTACAAAGTGTGCGAGCGACTTCCTTTGTGACATCATCACGGAGACTTTTATGAACGGCTTTACGTGTTTCTTCGCTAACTCGAAATGCAACAACCTCTAACTCTTCTTCGGACTCTTCTGTATCATTGTTAAAGAATTCAACACCTTGTTTAATCAAATATTGATCACAAGCTGAGTATAACTCATGTTCTATTTCAGTATCCTCAAGCTGCTCAGTTATCCAGATGCTGGCGCGGTTACAGACATGGCCCCATTCTTCTTTATGGTCCACCAAAATATTTTTAAGGTAATAAATTGTAAATGCTGTATACCAAATTGAATCATCACAAGTTCTAAGTTTTGGGCTACCGACAAAAAGTTTAAGAGATTCAACAGCATTTGTCGGCGGAGGAATTAATGGATATAACGTGGTTAAAGTTTGTGAAGAAAATGAACCATTGCTTTGTTGCGCAGAACAAAATGAACGGGCAATTTCAGCTGTGCTCCTAGAACGTAAATAATCAAAAACTGCTTTACGTGTTTCTTCGTTGATATCAAGTCTGTAAACCCTAAAACATCTTGTATCTTGAATTGAATAAAGAAGACGGCAACCTTGTTTAATTAAGTATTGTCTACATGCTGAAAGTAGTTCCATCACCAATTTATTGTCGAACTGACTAAGCAGCCATTTACTAGCACGATCATAGGCATCTTGCCATTCATTGTTATGATTTGTTAATATGGTCTTAATATAATGGATTGTAAAAGCCGTGTACCAAACAGAATCATCACATCCTCTTAGTTGGAGACTATAAACTAACTTCTTAAGGGATTTAACAGCGTCAACCGGTTTTATGTCGAGATGGTCAGTTATAAAAGGACTCAGAGTAAAGGAACCGTCTTCTTGCTGAGCATCGCAAATTATACGAGCAGTGTCTTCATCAACTAAGGAACGTAAGCCATCATTGACTTCTCGAACAGTATCTTCAGTAAAATCAAGTTTAGTAACATGAATGTTTTCTTGAATGTTATATCTAATAGCTTTATCGTGTGCTCGATCGATCACATATTTATTAGTGCACTTTAATAATTCTTTTTCAATATCCTCATCGCAAATTTGTTTAGATAGATAATCACGAGCTTTGTTATATTTATCTTGCCAATGATTTTTATAATGAGGGACGGCAACTTGAAGGTAACTAATAGTAAGTGCTGTCTTCCACCATGGATCTGATCCAGGAGATTGTAGTCTTTCGTTAGGTGTACTTGATTTGACTGTAGTTACAATATCTTCTATAGGAACTTCTAATTCTTTACAAATGATCTCACTTAATTCAAAGGATCCATCATCTTTTTGTTTAGAGACAGCAGTTTCATATTTATCAAGGGTTGTTGATATCTGAAAATATACAATAGCAGACCTCTTTTCGTCCTTAATCGTTTTTTTAGCGCAAATATCGATTACATAATTATCTGTGAACTCCAAAAGTTCTTTTTCGGCATCAGCATCTCCTATTTGCTTCGAAAGATATTCATGGGATTTATCGTATTCATTTTTCCATAGATCTTCAAGTTTATATGCGACATTTTTAAGATAAGAAAGATTAATTGCAGTTGAAAATAATGATGACGACTTGGGTGATTCAAGTTTTTTATTAGTAATGTTCTTCTGAATCGTATTAATAATTTCCTCTATTGGAAGATCGAGTTCTTTGCATAATGTTTCGCTTAGTTCAATACGACCGTCATCATATGCTGCAGAAGTAATAGCATTGCAGACCTCGGGAGTAACACGTTCCTGAGCAATGACAAATGCGGCTTCCTTTTCCGTTTGACCGGGTTCTTTATCATTCGAAATGATATATTCGATATTTTTATCAAGAATAATACTTTTGGTCTTTTTATAATGCCTGTCGATTAGTATTGATTCATCATCTTTTTCAGTCTCACTTCTTATTGGTTTATCGATTACATATCTATCTAGTCACGGTTTAACACAAAAAGTTAGTATAGTTAATGTGTAATATCACTGTAAATAAAGCTCATTATTACCTTGGTATGAAGCATCGAGTCCGACAACCTCGTCATCGATGTTATAACGTTTTATCATGAATTGTTTGGCAGATTCCAAAAGTTCACGTTCGATTTGAGGATCCTTAATTTGTGAACTTAACCATTTATGTAATACATCGCATTCATTAGACCAGTGTTCACGATGATCTATACCCAACAAACGGAAATACCATATCGCTACAGCAGTGACCAAAATGTCATTATGAAGCTTCGACAAATTTTCAGAAATAAAGTGACTACGTAATGCTTTTTCTAAGGATTCTTTATTATGGAATCCAAGGTGTTGCGCAATATCATCGTTAAGTTTATAGCAACCATCCTTTGTACGATAAGTAACAAACTTTTTAACAACTGTGTCAGTAGTAGTATTTCGACTAACTTTAATAGTAGTACTTCGACTAACTTCAGTAGTAATACTTCGACTAACTTTAGTATCAGATGAAAAGATTGAATTTCGAAAAAAAAAAAAAGATGTTTAAAATACAACAAACAGCAATTTTGCTTATAGAATTTTGAAGAATATTTAAATCAAATATACCTGTAATTTGTTTCTTCCTTTTGTCTTCTTCTTCAATAGAAACCTTGAAAGACTTGTCTTCTTCAATAGCACTCTTTTCAACTTCAAATCTTTTAACAACAAAGTTTCTAGCAGCCTCAAGAAGTTCATCTCGTACTTTATCATCTTTCACTTGTTGACAAAGCCAATTATATGCTTTTTTGTATACATCTGTCCACTCATTTCTGAAATCAACTAATACATATCGAATAAACCAAATCAAAATAGCAGTACTCCAAACATTAATATCAAATTGAGCAGTTTTTGGTGAATAGGAAGAAAAATAAGTTTCAAAATGTTTCTTGGCCTCTTCAAGCGAGTTGAATCCCAAAGCTTCAGCTAATTGAGTGGTAAGTCTGAAACAACCAGATTCATTCTGATAAGTGATGAACTGATGAACACTGTGGATATCAGCTTCTTTCCGGGTAATAAGTGGTTTATTAGATATGACTGTGGTAATATGAAATGATTAATAAATCAATATCATAAACATTAATAACCAGAATACAAAAATTTATGCAGATAATATATTCTAGTCGATGAATTAAAAATATGTAACGAAAGAACATTGTCAGAAACATTCGTATTGTCCAAGTAAATAATCTGTACTAAACTCTGCTGTATACAATGGTTTAATCATTAAAATAATTCATGATAATAAAATTTTCACATTAATTTCTTGTTTTTTTTTTTTAATTTATCGACTAGCACATAATTTATTAACAAAACATAATAACTTTTCTTACCTCCCACACTTCTTTGTTGATCCTCGTCTACCCATTGAGTAACTTCAAAGAGTTGAATAACGAATTTGTTCGAATAATTATAAAGACGTTCTTCGACTTCAAAATCGATGACATTTTCACTCAACCAGCTTTCAGCCTCATTGTAAATATTCATC